ATTCGAGTGGGATTTGGTTGCAACCCGATTGGAACCTTTGAAGTTACTTAATTCACGGGCTAGACTAGCAGAAAAGCGCATTTGCGGTGGTTACATTTTCAATATTTTCTCGGAGAGCGCGAGTCCCCCATACCCCGAGACGATTGATTGGGTGTTCGGGACTGGGATTCAGGTAAGTCACCTAAGGTAGGCTATATTGGACCACATTGAAGATGCTGTATTCACGGGCTGGAATAGCAGGAAAACGCGTTTGCGGCAGTTAAATTTTCAAACATTCATCGAGCTCGAACGCCTATGCATCACGGGACCTTTTTATGTATAAAGTTCTACACGTATCTTGGTAAGAGGACACCGGTGAAACGTGAAACACCCTTCTTAAAAGGCTTCTGGTTATTAATAAATTTAAGTTACGTAATCCAAATGTTTAAATAATGAATTTATTTATCGTTGATGTTATACAAACGTATACAATTTCACACACCGTCTCCTTTATATATTATATAATAGTGGCATATTTATTCAACAAAGAAGTTACTCAAATATCTATTTTATATTCACACATGTGACGGCGTTAAGGAGCATAAAGGTCAGACTATTCATTTTATTTGTGCAAACCAACGGTGTTACAATCGAGCCTATATGCCAAGATGTGGGTAAGTGTCTATTTTTACCAGATAAGTTCCACTTTTTCAGAAATCTTCTGTCGACTAACGTCCTGTTTATATAAAGTTTACAATATTTAGCAGTTCACTTGAACTAGTTTCAATAAAATCATGCATTATAACCATTTTTATTTATTTATCTTTGCTTCTTAAAATTTAATATGGTTCTTCGTGTGTAACAAGTTATACATATTTATTTTATATAGAGTGCCAGTTTGTAAATTAGCGAATATATGTTTTTAAAGCTTTAGTTCCTAGTTAGTTTTTGTATATATCTACCATATATAATAGCCCCATCATTTCATAGAATATCTGGATTTAAGTATAGTATTTTACGGTGTATAAGTCGATGTGGAGTATTGGTCGAATCGTCATATTTTACTATTTTTCGACCTCCATCCATATATAAGTCGGAGCGGTATATCAGACGGATGCAATCTACTATCGAGTTTTGGGATTGTTATCATAGTTGTACACCAGGAAAAATTGACCCATAATATTAATTACGATATAATAATCACTCTATTAATGTAGGACTAACTTGATTAATATTCCACGTTGTGGTCTTGGTTTATTTGAACTAGTTTTTATTTCAATATATCCGATAAATAGAAGACAATGCTGGCTCTGTTTCTAATCACACATGTTTATATAGTATGTTACTAAAAATAGTATACAACAACGCATTATAGTATACAGTTAAAGAAATATAACCAGTTTTTATTGTCAGTTTAAAATATAGAGCCATCTAGATATGACTGCCGAAATTATCACGAGCACGCAGGTTTTTCAGGGTAAATTATAAACAGAAAACATATTGTCCAAAACCTAAAAAATATATTACTTTTACTAATTCCATTCGACCATTGGATTTTATTTTTTTCACAGTTAAATTATATACATGTAGTAAGAACTTTAGAACGACATAGTGGGGAAGAACATTTAGTCTTAAACACGTCAATAAACACTCTGCCAGCGCCATGTTTGATCTACACTCACTTATCTTTAACCCAAACTTTAAATCTTACATAGGTTTAACAAGTAGGTTCTAAATAAATGTATGGTTGTGCAGGCATCTAAGACGTGCAGTAGAACGGATATGAGTAAATTATTATTATAATTATTATTATTATTATTATTGTTGTTCGATTTATATAGCGCTTCATTACACAGGAGTGTTTCTACGCGTATTCACAACAAAACAGTTCAAAAGCATTTTTGAAATAAATATGATTTTAAGTTAGTCTTAAAGCTCTGGATGGAAGATGACTCTCGAAGAGTTTCTGGAAGATCATTCCACATTTTAGCTGCTCTGACGGAGAAAGCATATTCACCAGAACATTTGTTATGTTTAGGAATCATCAATATGCTACGATCACTTGGATCGCCGCGGAGAATATAAATCAAAGAGTTCTTTTAAATAACTGGGTGCAGTGTCAGAATAAATTGATTTAAACACATTCACAAGGGCTTTAAATTGAACCCTCGCTCGAACTGGAAGCCAACGGAGTTTCTGTAACGTAGCTGATATATGATCAAATTTTCGTGTTCTAGTTATGAGACGTGCAGCATTGTTTTGCGCTATTATTTCTGTAGTTTTGTAATCGGAGTTCAACTTTAACGGGAACCGCGGTGACGTCAGTGGCGACGACGCTGGCTCGGTGACGAGGGGGTCTCGGATTCCCTCCCACTCGTTCGGAAAGAGAGAGAGAGTGTGTGTGTGTGTGTGAGAGAGAGAGAGGGGATTTGACGTCCACTCGACACAAACTAGCTTTTTTGCAGGACTAATATTTGGTTCCATTTTATTTTATTAATTCACTTGCACGCAGGGGTCTTTAAGAGTGCGTGGAAACCAGAAAACCCACGAGGTTGGATAGGCGACCCTACTCCTTGTCACGCGCAATTAATGGGGAATGGAAACCACGCTAAACAACGAACGCGTTAAAACCCCCGCACCCACCCACTAGTCGTTCGAATACCTTTACACCATAGCTAACGGGCATTGCGGTGGCTCAGCGAAAAGGGGGGTTGGATGGCTGAATGGTTAGCGTGCGCGCGCTGTATTATAAAGTCTGTCATTGAGTCGACTGTCGTGGTTTCGAATCCCCGGTTGTACGTGACAAGGAGTAGGGTCGCCTGTCCAACCTCGTGGGTTTTCTCCCGGTCCTCCGGTTTCCTCCCACTGCTAAAGACCCCTACGCACAAGCGAATTATTTAAATAAAATTAAACCATATGTTAGTCCCGAAATGACCTGGTTTGTGTCGAGTGGACGTTAAACTCCATTTCTCTCTCTCTCTCTCGCTCAGCGAAAACGACGCTGGCTTGATGACCATGATCTCTCCCAGTATTGGTCGGGAAAATTTTTCGGGATTTTCCCCATGTCGATGGTGCTGGACGGAAGCCTCGATAAGAACAGTGTATAGTTGTGCGGATAGAACGAAAGGCCGCGATCCCGTGTACATTTTGGCGTGCGCATAAAAGAACCCTTGGCAATTGTAATTCGATATAAGTGTAGGCTGCATTGCAAAATGTCACTCATTGCACACTGTACCGCGTATGCCTGTCATCATTAGCCCAGTCGGTGCATAAAAGTAGTACGGTAAACCCCATTTCATTTTATTTGATTTCACCATAATTAACATTGGAATAGGATGTCCGGGTACGATTAGCATATCACGTTTACGCTTGTAACGATAGGCGTGGCGTTATCATATCTAAAAAAAATTGAAGTATTCCAGTTAATGTGTAACGTCCACCAAAAAACGCTAGCCTTCTAATGTTTCTCTTTTTTGCCCGCTTACAGAAAATAACAAAATAGTTCTGCATCGGTAATTTTCAATGTATCTATATAACTTCCTCTTACTGGTGTCCTATTTTCTGATATTGTTATCTGCCCATCTACACAACCCCCGTTTAGACATTCAATGTGTGAGCTTTATTTACTGATATTTTTTATCAGTTCATCTACCCGTTTAGACATTCATTGTGTGGGCTTTATTCAAAAAGGACATGGCCAGATAATTTAGCTGTGTTAATCATACAAGAGCTCAATCTGCCTGTTCCAGATCTTTATTTAGGCCTGAGATGGTATCTAAATTATTAATTAGACATTAATTAACATATCCAGATAATACTCAACTCTCGATGTCATAGCTAGTCTGCGATATTTACTGGATTGGGATCCGATTTCCTGCTCAACTTTCATTCATGATTAAAGGAGCTAAATCGCTAACATTTGGGACCTAGAAATTGACAAAAGTGGGTCGCAACGCATATAATACTGTAATATGAATGTATATAAACTGATTTACATTCAATGGTTTCCGTTTTTACTCCAATTTCAAATTATTTCGGCGAAATAAGCCAGCAATCTCAAGCGAGTGCAAATGTCTAGCGTCTGGTTATTCCAGTCTACATACGCCGTTTGATTTGGTGCAATGTGTCTAGCCTCGTCCCTCGAGTCTCTTGATACAACTGGGACTGAAGGGCATATGGTACACAATTCGTGTACCAATGGTAAAATGTTTATTTTGTCTTAAATATTGGATATCAAAAGCCCATCTTTTTCCGGTAAGTTCACAACATGAATTTTGATTTAATTTGACAAATAAATCGTGTTTTCAATGTTGAAGATTTTGGATGATATTAAATAAGAGACTTAGCCCCTTTAAATCATGAAATGGATACTCGAGACTATGGGTTTATTTTATCGTACCGACTTTAGTAATGATGATCAAGGCGAGGCCGAAAATGCAATCGTTAAAATTGTTGGTTCAGAGTTGATCAATTTGAGTGATCTAGTTTTTAACTACTACAGTGAGAACTGTCAGCTCTTTATCTAATCTCCCATAATGTATCTTTAAATTATACCCTACCACACCACTTCAAAACATCGTAAGTTTTTAAAATTTCCCAAAGGGTGGTTTGTCGATGAACGCCGGGTCCATTGTATGGTCATTGTAACTCTTTGAAGGGCAATTCACACTAAGCGCGAATGCGACCACGAACGTAAACGCTGCGATCGCATTTGATTAACTACTTATCGAATTCTTGGAAATAGTTCGAGTGAACAATTTTCACAAGTCAATCAGAGAGCGGGATGAAATGGCGTGTTACAGTTTGAACGATGGTTCGAGCGGAAAGTTGCAGTGGGTGTTACTCACGTTCGCGGTCGCGTCGCGTTCACACTCAGTATAAATGGTAATGTATTCACTGGCGTATTTCACTGCGACTTTTCAACAAGATTTCACAAGTCGTTTTCAGCATATAACGTCGCAGTGAAATAAACCATAGAAATTGTTATCCATAAATAGATAGTGGTACAATAGTAGCATTTTATTCAAATAGGGGCGTTACTAAATCTCGCTAGTAATGTGACCTTAACCTAAGCGCTGCCGCAGAACTTTTTGATTTGATAATATGCAAATATAACTATTTTATTGGCGTACACCGCTAGTTGGACAACCCAAACAGGATACTGAATATCATTTTACCAATTTTTTGCTCTAAAATGTTCGTTACAGAGAACTCAGCACTCTGTAGGGCTAGCGGATAACCGTGAAAATGAAGCATGCCACGTGTGGTGAGTATTGAACAAATATTAAATTTTTATGGTTGGAAATGAGATGAAATTAAATGAGGTTTATCGTCCTACATCAACCGGGCTAATGTCTACGACCATACACGATGCAATGTGCTCGAAGAACGTGGTAAAAAAAAATCCCACGTTTGTCTGGAATGCCCAAACGCAGTTTTTTTTTAATTGCCATGTTTTTGAAACAAGGCATTTTGACCAGAACGAGGCTGGGTAAAAATGCCTCGTTTACTAAACGTTGTTTTCTTCAAGATAATTATTAGCGGTATTTGCTATCAACAAAAAGAGCCTCACAAATAATGTTCCGAACATCACGTGACAAATTGCAAATCTACAAATTAAGATTTATTTATTGGGACATGATATGTTTAATTATTATGGTTTACTTTACTGGAGCATGTGCGTTCTTTGATTACATGTTGTTTGTTTTGCTTATTAAAACCCACCTGTATCATTACAAGTCGAAAATTGTTAGTTGAATAAAACGACATTACGTAAAACAATCATCTGGTGGATGCACTCATAAATGACTTTCAACTTCTATTAAAGGACAATATATTGGTGTCAGTCATTATATCATGTGATAGAATTGGTTAAACACGTCCCAAATATAATTTTAACACATAATGGTGTTTATATGAGACTGTGAAAGGATATCTGACAATTCAAAAAAATAATTGACTGTCATTATATAAGTTAAAACGAGGAAAATAGAAAATGTCCGTACATTACCATGTTTTTATTAAATATAGAATCAATAAAAAGAAGGGAATGTACGGACTATTTCTATTTTTCTCGGTTTTCCTTATTTAGTGACATTCGATTACGTTTTTGAATTAAGTTACATATCCGTAATATGATACTGCTTGTGAACTATACATAGGCTTATATCAGCCTTCGTATTTCCATAAATGCAGTGGCATGCTAATCAAAACTCTTGGTGTTTTATTCATTGTATTATAAAATTGTAATAAATATGTTTTACATGAATGAATAAAATAAAAAAAATATAAAATCTACAATAACTGAAATCAGTACAATAATGTTGGGATTGGAGCCCTACAACCACTGAAAGTATAACAATTTCTTGTTGAACAAGTGTCACTAATCAAAGTTTTTTGTTTCCAATGCAGCAAATATTAATATGTGTCCAAATTGCAAAATTAGACCGGACTAGTTTTTTTTCTGTTGTATTTAATTTGGTATTTTTAAAAATATATTCCAAAAGAATATGTCCTTTACAAATTTTAATATAACCACAAATAAGTGATTATTTTGATACACACTGTCACACACGATGCTGAGATGGGGTATTAATGGTTTGTATATGAAAAATAAATTATAAAAGAGAAAAATATATAGGTATATCTTAAAACAGCGCATTTCTCAGTTACTGCTTCGGAAAAGATAATTTGATAATTTAGGTGATCAGCCCTGAAAACCGTTTTGCTATGTTATCATTCTTGAATGAATGGGGTAGGGAGTATATCTATCACCGTATGTTATCATTCTTGAATAAATGGGGTGGGGAGTATACTTAATTAGGGGTTTGGATTGGAGGATTATAGCTATCATCTTACCCAAATTTAATATGTGGTGCATTTATGGTCTTATAAAGCTCTATTCTTACATATAGTAATTAAATGCCAAGGGTATGCGACTGAGTTTTCCATTTGGTTTTATTTATTAAGGGTGCAGTTATCGAAATATTGAGGCTGAACGCGTTCTAATTTAGATCTAAATATATAGTAAAAATCTCATTCGTATAATTGAAGCCTGTTTATTTCTGAATACCTATACTTGATTTATTATGGCTTAATAATATATTAAAATTACGTTCAGGATAATGCTTAGTATTTCGCTACAGAATTTTGTTTGTTCAGAAAATGAAATAGGGTAGATTAGTTCAATTTTAATTTACATAGTAACACGTCTGTATGTCGTACTTTATGAATATATTGGTGTTGGAAGTTTTGACGATGGCTGTCTTTACTTATATTATGTGCAAGATTAAAGATCTTTCAGGTGTGGCGCCAGGCAGGTTAAGCTTTACTCTTCCGGACACCTGTTACCACTGTTTGTCGTGTATTTTGTACACGGTGAACAGTCCATATGCTGATTACACTATTTTGCCTGATTGCACTATTTTGCCTATACCGTTTTTTTATGACTTTTGTCTAATGGTTTGGATTGTTCGTACTTAGTTTTATTTTATTTTTATTCCCATTTAGCAATCGCGAAAGGTTTCACATTGAATGAAATGGGTTGATCCGCGCGGAATTCGTTTAGACGTGATAAGTTTAAATCATGCTTATTCCAAGATGTGGGTAAGTGTTTATTTTTAGCAGGAAAGTTCCACGTTTTCAGAAATGTTCTGTCGACTTACGTACTGTTTATGTAAATTTGCAATATTATTTAGTTCTAGACGCAACAATTCAGAACCAACTGTTATTGCTAAAATACGAATATAGAGCCGTCTCACATGAAATGGCATTAAGAACTAAAACGCGAAACTTACTTATTGCTGTCAATTTTGATCACAATTATTACCTAGGATTTATTTTGTGGTTATTTTTTGTGAATACAGGTGACCTGGCGTCCATAGATTGGTATGGTCGGCAATTTGAAATGTGGAGAGGTGTGGTCGGCAATTTTGAATGTGGAGAAGTCGACAAATCACCCCATTTTTCTTCGATAGTTTTAATCTGTATTCTGTCAACCACTATGGTATATACATGACAGTGACAACGAGTTAACAGTTATAAATTTGATTGTTAGACATTTGTTTATTTATAATATTTTTAAAAGAAAGAAAAAAAGGACAAAAACTAGGACACTGTTGTATATGTTTGTGTGATAGGAAGGAACTGAGCGTGTGGTTGTTATATTGTACTGTATATATATATATATGGCTGTACACTTCACACATGTACGACCTGAAAATATGTTATGAATGAAGGGCCGGTAACCAAATTTATCACCCAATACTATATTCTACAGTAAATAAGAAGATATCGCTTAAGAAGATATCACTTTATATGAATTTGATTGGTCAGTTAAAAAACTGGAAGGCCAAACAACTCTTTATTCGGATCATAGTCAAGAAATCACGATAACCGAAGGTGGCCCTGTTTGTATGACAACAGGAACGTCTATTAAAGACCTCTGCTCCTAAGAATTAGTGAAATATGACAGACAAGTTAAGTTTTTTTAGTAATAATTCGTGCGATTTAATAATGAAGCAGTTGGTAGACCATTAAGATGGGGTGTTATGGCTGTATTGACAAGTTTTTGTTGAATACATATCAATATATTTTCAAATTTTGGTATGAATCGACAAATTCATCGCTGCACGTAGATACAGCCTTGCTCAAATAATGACATTTTGTGCAAGGTTATGGGGTTTCAAAGGAAACATAGTCAATGCTATAGTGTTCAATTAAATAAACACTAATTTCTTGACTGCAATATCAGTTCTACTACCTAAGACCATGGCGGACCGCCACTTTTTTTTTTACTGAGAATGACGATGTCTTATTCCACTGTATGTTTTATTATTACACTGGTAAAAAACCAATGGGTTCAGTCTCATCTTTAGACCTGTTGTTAGACCGAGACGGTACAGTTAGATTGAAATATAGTTGGCTAGAATTTGACCACTTGTACACATGACAGTATATTCCAGTATGATCAAGTACCACAAAAACGACGGTTTTGTATTGAGGGTGAATTCTGTGATCTATTCAATGGTGGTCTCAATGCTATAGTCAGGTTATATTTCTACAGTAAATAAAGAAAATAAACTGGCGTATTGGAAATATGAAATGTTATGCTTTCTTGAATAATAATAATGGATTTTTTGTTATGTGTGATGGTTCTTCTTTTGTTAGATTAGATAAACACGAATTTCTTGTCTGCATATCAGTTAGGTGGAGGCGCACGTTATATTTAATTGAAAGAAACCAAACGATTAATAAGCAAAGTACAAATCGGACACCATTCTCTGAATTAAAATAACTTTTGATTGTATGCATCGAAGGGCAACCAGTTGGCGCCGAAATGTAAATCAACAATCATCACAGTATTCTGTCTTGTGGATTCAGCTAAATAAGGTTATAAGTTCCATAAATTTATAATCACCGAATGAAGGTTGTGATTTAAACTTGACGATATAATATTACTTAGGATGTTATTTGAACATTTAAATAGTTCATAAATTATAACTGATATTTCTAATCATTATTAAATAGAATATTCGTTCACTAGTATCAATAATATACAGTCAAAATGGGTAATAAATAATGCCATGGTTGGTTGATTAGAATGCTTGATAACGTTGACCTATATAGGTGTTAAGTCATGTTCCTGAAGCAACGGTATACTAGTTTTATAACTAGTTTTATAGTTATAAAAGTAGTATACCGTTTCTTCAGGAACATACTGTTAAGTAAGAACTGTCGTGTTGTAATACCTGATTGGGGCCATTAATTAATTAAGAAAACTGTGTGTGTGAAATAGTTTTACTTGACGTACGCGTCCACCTAACTGATATCGCAGACAAGAAATTAGCGTTTATCTAATCTAACATGCAAAAGCATATAATCAGCATGTAATCAAAGAACGCTTTTATCTGCCATATTTAATATTGTCACGTGACATTGTTATGTTTTTTTCGCTTTGATAGTGTTTATTATACACGATAGAACTCCAGTATAGAAAACCATAGCTATGGACAATATCATGTCCCAAATAAATAATCTAATTTGTAGATCGGCAATTTGCCACGTGATGATCCGAACATTATTTGTATGGCTCAATTTGTTGATAGCAAATACCGCTAATAATTATCTTGGACAAAAAACCACGCTTAGTAAACGAGGTAATTTTACCCAGCCTCGTTCTGAACAAAATACCTCGTTCCAAAACAGGGCAAAAACGAGGACAGATATGCCGAACGAGGCATTCTGAGGTTTATAGTGTAAAATAAAGTTTAATACCGTACAACGTTTCAGGTTATTATCTGGCGCATTTATATTTACATAGCTATTATACAAGTCAAAAGCAAGGGAGACAACAGTGGTTCAGTGCATATAAGGCGTTGGCTCGCTGACCTAGAAGTCCTTGTTTTGAACCCGGTGTTGGCCGAGAATGTTGATAAGGATATTCTGGCGTACTTCCCCGCTGCCAGTGGTGTAGGACATAGGGCATGGCAAGGGATAATAATATAGTCGTTCGGATTGAACGTCTGTCCAACCTCGTCGGTTTGCTCCGAGTCCTCCGGTTTTCCCCCACTGCTAAAGACCCCTACGCGCAAGCGAATTATTGCAATAAAATTGAACCATGTGTTAGTCCTGAAATGACCTAGTTTGTGTCGAGTGGACGTTAAACCTCTCTCTCTTTGCTATGAACAATCTGTTACCTTTATTAATGACTAGAAGAATGTCAGGCTTCGCTCGTGGGGTCATAAACCCGGAAGTGGTAGACTAACGCCACCTGGCCTATGTTACTCCCCGGTCCGAGCTACCCCTATACCCCAAATTTCAGACTCGGGGCAGACCTAGTGTATCCGCCAACCCCGAACAGACAGACAAACGACAGTTACAAATATTAGTATAGATTTGAAGTTGTATAAAACTGTAGAATCAATGACAGTGTGCCTTAACATTGTTATCTATAAATCACGTTTTATCCAAAAATCCATTTTGTATTGTTCGAATGTACTATTAAGAACAAGCTACTGACTGCAATGCCAGAAGCAAATATTTTAGTGGCCATTTATTTACAATCGTTTAGTTCAGTTCGGTTCAAAAAAAGGGATCTCTTTTAGAGATTATTTCTAAAAAATCTATTTTCTTACAATGATTTTTTTTTTTAATTTAAAAGCATTATTCTGTGTTTATTTTGGATAAATTATTGATTTTCAATCCTTTTATTTCAGTTCGTTTAAAACAATTAAGGATTTCTATTGGAGGTTATTTTACATAGTAGTCTCGGTTAACAGGCCGTAACTAATGATCTCAGGACATGTCTATTGGACAATACCAACACCCTGTTAAATGCGAAACAGGAAGTGTTTATCTCCTAAGTGAATTATTTTAGAGATTATTTTACGGTGAATTATTTTGGAGACTTTCTGCTGTGTTCATTTGGGATAAATTGTGTGTTTGTGAATTATATGTTAGTGATTCTACTAACATAATTATATCATTATGAAAAAACGAATCTGTTTGTATCCTTTCTTCTGTGTTTCTCTTTTGTCAACTTTACTTTATCTATATTTTATGACAAATGTTCATCAATCAACCCCGACGTTTAAAGGCGTAGGAACTCTCGGAAAATTGATAACTCATGCAAGTCAAACGGAAACCACTCAGAGAGCCCTAAACAAATTGATGAAACTTTCAAATCAAACGAAAAGCACTAACAAAATAAATGATCCCGAGAAGAATGGAAATCATTTACTGAAAAAGGACGAAATATCTCAACTCGAGACAGGTGCCGAGAAAAAAAGGACACATTTTCTGGGATTAACGGGAGCTTGGGGTCGGTTGGGTAATCATATGTTTTTCTACGCTTCGTTAAGAGGGATAGGGGACGCTATCAACTATACACCCATTTTAAGTAGAACAGATCCTATACTTAAATTGTTTGAAATTAATTTGAATAATTCTGTAGACAAATTTACCTTGAACAATAATGTTGTGAAAGGTGAAAAATGTATAGGAATTTTTACCAAAGATCTGATGTCCCCCATAAATAAAACAACTAATATAACAGTGTTTGGATACTTACAATCGTTTAAATATTTCCAAAATATAGAATCGGATATCCGAAAGGAGTTTATCTTAAAAGCGGACATTAAAGCTCGCGTCAAACATATTTTTAATACACTTAACATAACACATCGAATAAAGGTTGGAGTTCATGTTAGAAGAGGTGATTTTGTGCATAGAGAAGGAACCAAGTTACCTACCCCTTCGTATTTTTATAAAGCTATGTATATGCTGAGGCAGAATTTAACAAATCCAATATTTGTCGTGTGTTCAGAGGATAAGAAATGGGTGACAGATTATTTACAACTTAACGATTCGGTTATTGTTCATGAAAGTGTAGAAGTTGATTTTGGAGTATTAATGAGTTGTGATCATAGTATAATATCATCTGGAACTTTTGGTTGGTGGACCGCATATTTAACGAGAGGTACCAGCATTTTTTTTAAGGGATTTCCCTCGCCCCCTCTCCTTGGATGTATCACTCCTCCAGACTATTATCCATCTGATTGGATTGGACTCGAGTAATCCATGTACTAGCTACGAGAACGTAACTAAAAACGCTGAGATATACCGATGTGCTTGTTTTTAGCTACGATTGGATGCCTTTAGTTCCAAGTGGCAAACTCAATTTCTTTATTAATGCATGTACCATGTTAAAAATAAGTTAATTTTATACTATTAGTAGTTATTACACATACGCAGTCCAATCTACTGAAACAACATTAATTTATCAGCAAATATTGACAATAGTGTAAATCAAGCGTTGTTTTTATCAAAATTGATTCGGACATTCATAATTATGTCGTATTACTACTGCGCAACTCTGATCAGCTATTGCACACGAGGCCTCGCCTTTATGTGTTACATATGTAAATTTAAAATGTCGCTTTGATTTAAAAAGAGGGGATTTGTACCCGTTTCAGGTAGGATTATATGCTTAATTGTAGTTGGGTGTGGCAGGGATATTATAAATAACAATAATCAATCGTTGTTTTGATTAAAAATATTGTCAATTTTGTTTACAAATGCCGGGTGCGAATCGCTCCCGCATGTGCTACGTTGAAGTTAATGGCACCATTTCTTATCTCGAAACACGGAGGGTTGAGAGATAAGGTTTGTTATCTATCTAAGTACTTGAATTCAACTCAAAATTTCTAATGAGCTATAAATATCTGTTCGAGATTTGTATTTCGTTGTACTTCTCTGATAATCTGATTAAAACACAGATCCTATTTCGTTTCGTTTTTTTATTGTTCAAATTTTCGTTTGACTTGCCTTTACTGCACTAGGATCTGGAAGAGTTGTTATATAACCGGCGTTTTGGTTGAAGTGAAAGTTTAGCCAATGAAACGATCTGTTACTGCGAGTTTTGGCATGCTCTGCACGGAACTATGGGTAAACCCTTACGCTGATTAATTAATCAATGTCTAACGTCATAGGGCCAAAAGCCGCTCGTACGACCCCTGACATTACCTTCCAGTACAACTTGTCACATCTCCATATAGAGTATGCCATCGGAAGTATAAAAAAATAACGAAACGAAATATAGATCTGCATTTAAATCAGATTGCATTTTGCACCGTGAACATTGAAATAATATTGGCAACGTTATTCTTCCATACAAGCGAGAGCCTCAACCGGAATGTGTTCACTGTCATGTTCCTTTGACAGTGAGCCACATCTTGATTGAGTGCAAACATCTCAAGTATATTAGATCTAAATACTACCGTTGCCAGTCATTACGTCAGCTATTTGCTCAACCGGAGCTATATGATAAAGTGCTAACATTTTTAAAAGAGACAAACTTTTATTCTCAATTTTAATTGTATATATTTAATCATGTATATTGTTTTAAATATTTATATATGTAAAAGATTTGTTATATTTATTTTTAATTATATATTTTCTGTGATATTTGTTTTTATTTACATATATAAATTCAATTATGTGATATTGTTTTAATTTGTCTCGTTAGATTCACCATATGTTTGGCGCAATATAGCCCGGTTGGAGCTGACGTGCCATTAAACAACATTTCATTTCATTTCATTTATTCTTCCATACAGTATACTGACTATAGAAGCTATCATTTATAAAGCTGTCATTACTGCCTGAGCAGGTAAAGACGGGCATGTCTGATTCATCACCGAACACAATGAAAACACGTGTTGTATGGGTAGAAATAAATCAAGAATATGGACATTGCAAGTATACAGAATCGACAAATAAATTGACATTGATAATAGAACGATATTGTAAACATTGTTGGTCCTATTGGGTTGGATGTGTATATACATAGAGGGATCGGCACTGAAGATAAGCTACGGTCTGGTCGCCCTTGTGAAGTGACAATCCAAGATAAAAGCTATCCCCCCTTTGTCGAAAACCTTAAAGATACATTATGAGAGATTAGATACAGAGCTGGCAGTCCTCACTGTAATAGCTAAAAACTAAATAATGTAAAGGGGATTTGCTGAAAATTTCAGTCCAATTGATCCACTATGAACCGAGATTTTAGCGATTAAATTTTCCGTCTAGCCTCGATCATCATTACTAAAGTCAGTAGGATAAAAAAAACATAGCCTCGATTATCCATTTATTGATTAAATTATGAATTGAAGTCGAACAGGATATTGGAACCTAATCCAATAAACATCACAGGCTAGCGATGCCATCGAGAGTTGATTATAGCCTGGATAAGTTAATTAATGTCTAATTAATAATTTAGATAACAATTCAGGCCTAAAGAAAGACCTGCAATAGACATATTTCGCTCTTGCATAATGTATGTTTAAATTACAATGACATCATTATTAATGTGACATCATAATGTATGTTTAAGAACGCAATCTATGCTACAATTCTGAAGATAATTAAATCAAATTTGGTTTGAAGCATCGGGTCATGGCAGGACGAACCATATTGATATAAGCTACCTACAGTGGTCGACTGATTCTTTTCAAATTTGGCGTGAAGCACTGTGGTAAGGAGAGGACGATCGTTCAAACGATAATCCGTTCAAACGTGATACTAATTCTTTCAAACGGGATACTAATTCGTTCAAACGGATTATTTTTTTTTTTATTTTTGGCACTAATGGGTCTTCGTACGTTATCAATCCAACGCATCATTAATCATTTCGCCATTACTAAATAAACAAGAAATGCGAAAGGTTTCACACTCTTCATTTATACTCCCAGTTTTAATTGATTATCTTTGCCTTCACGCACATTTATACTCCCAGTTTTAATTGATTATCTTTGCCTTCAAGCACATTTATACTCCCAGTTTTAATTGATTATCAAAACCTCCATGCACATTTATACTCCCAGTTTTAATTGATTATCAAAACATCCACGCACATTTATACTCCCAGTTTTAATTGATAATAAAACCTCAACGCACATTTATACTACCAGTTTTAACTGATTATCAAAACCTCCACGCACATTTATACTCCCAGTTTTAATTGCTTATCAAAACATCCACGCACATTTATACTCCCAGTTTTAATTGATTATCAAAACCTCAACGCACATTTATACTACCAGTTTTAACTGATTATCAAAACCTCCAAGCACATTTATACTCCCAGTTTTAATTGATTATAATAACCTCCACGCACATTTATACTCCCAGTTTTAATTGATTATCAAAACCTCCATGCACATTTATACTCCCAGTTTTAATTGATTATAATAACCTCCACGCATATTATACTCATAGTTTTAATTGATTATCATAACCTCCAGCTTTCGTAATATTTTAGATTAAAATCTCCCTGATGACGCCATTGAGTCAACTGGCGTGGTTTCGAATCCCCGGTTGTACGTGACAAGGGGTAGGGTCGGCTGTCCAACCTCGTGGGTTTTCTCCGGGTCCCCCTGCTAAAGACCCCTACGCGCAAACGAATTAATGAAATAAAATTAAACCATGTTAGTCCCAAAATGACCTAGTTTGTGTCGAGTGGACGTTAAACCCCATTCTCTCTCAATCTCTCTCTCTCTCTATTCCGCGTAGAACGCAAGTACTCAGCGATTATTCCGCAGTTCTACCGTGCCAAACGGATTAGTATCGCCAGATACCGCAGTTATTCCGCTACTGCCGAGTTTGACCCGCAAATTATCCTTATGTCTTCCGTACTAATTCCCATGTGTTCCGTGATTTTTCCGTGATTTTTTTTCAACAGCTCTGCCTTCGAGGTAGAAATATCTATAAATGGAGGTCGGCTTTCCACGGATTCTATACCCTGAAATTTTTTTTCCGCGGGAAGTCCGCAAACAAACCGCGATAGATTCGCCGATTCTGCAAGTAGTCCTCGCGTACCGCATGCAATAAGCAAATGACCCGTATATTAACCGCGGCTAATCCGTAACTAATCTGTCGCGAGGCCGATTATCCCTCGTTCTTGTGCGTCTCATCCGCATCTTTTCCGTAAACATTCCGTGATATACCGCGCTTTCCTTTCGCAGGCGAAGGTCTTTCGTATTCTTCCTTACGTGAACGAAGGTCATCCGTAACCATTTAACACCCGCGGAAAGTGAAGGAATGCCTGCGGTATACATGCGGACAACTTGCGGCAACTGCGTTTGTATACAGAATAACAGCGGAAAACTTGCGAATGTTACGGATCGCTCCTGGTTTAACTGCGGAAGAGCAAGAACAAATTTTTCCACAAACGTTCTTTTGAACATGTTCAAAAGAACGTTTGCGGAACATTTGGGGGGCTGCGGATGATGTGGAATGAATACGGATTCACTGCGCTTCCTTGCGGAAATGTACGGTACAACAGGAAAGACATACTGTACTTTGCGGTATAATTGCGGATTTGCTTCCGCAAGTCTTCTGCGGTCTAGTTAAATGGTTACAAGTCCGTGCTTTCTGTCTTCAAAACTGATTTTATCGGCGGAATCCGGTGTCATCCTTTGATCTTTACCGATTTTGCGCAGGTACGTCGCGATTGGTCCGAGACGAAACGCGGTTGCCGAAAATGGTCCGCGCTTGTTCCGCAGTCATTTCAAAGTTCTACCTTGCCAAACGGATTAGTACCGCCAGCTACCGCAATTATCCCGCGTATTTTCCGCTATTTTCTGCTAAAACTACAAGTTGGATTTTCTTCTGTCTCGTTTTTATTAAAGATGACGTCTTGTAGTTCCTTTGGACTGCCTACCTTTGAAATGCTATCACCGGGTTCTGTCTTTTCGTTGCATGTTTCTGATGAAATGTAAATGTAATTTTTTGATTTTCCTATATAAATTTTATATTAAAATGCAACTAGGCTAAATTAAACAAAAATACAAATGTCTAATTTATCAAACAAAATTTGAATATAAGATACATTTGCATAATTTTAATATACATTTGCACAATTTTAAGATATGTTACATTTGAATAATTTTAAGATACAAATGTTAATTTTTGTTTACAAATGTCGACATGCGATAACACATGAAGACATAACAATCAAGGACTATGAATTATGAACTAAGAATCAATGACTATGAATTAAGAACTAAGAATAAAGAGCTATTTGGTCTTCCATATGAAATGGGCTGTCAAAACATCTACGAGGGCAGTATGGCGAAATACTAGCCCATAGGAGTAAAATCTAAAGACTAAACAAGTTATAAACAAAATCAGTTATTTTTCATAACAGATACCGCGTTACTAAGCCGTCGTGGCAGTCAAACTTTGAAACAAAATTTGTTTCCTAAACGTTAAAAGTTTTTTAACAACCCCCCCCCCCCCGTGCTTTCTGTCTTCAAAACAGTGATTTTATCGGCGGAATCCGGTGTCATCCTTTGATCTTTACCGATTTTGCGCAGGTACGTCGCGATTGGTCCGAGACGAAACGCGGTTGCCGAAAATGGTCCGCGCTTGTTCCGCAGTCATTCCGAAGTTCTACTTTGCCAAACGGATTAGTACCGCCAGCTACCGCAATTATCCCGCGTATTTTCCGCTATTTTCTGCTAAAATGATATACCCATCGTCTTCAAAACCCCGCGAGTAACCCACTTTTGGGATTAGAACACAAACCAACATTTGGACATAACATTCAAGGAATTAGAATGGCCTCTCTGGATGGCCACCATTAAGTGATTTTATACTTTATCATTGCTTGATAATTACTAGAGCAGCCTAGCCGAAACGTTGCTGAGTATTAAGCTGTATTGTATTCCATAAACAATAGTATGCAGCAAATGATGATATTAGATTATCATTAGATAACAGTGGGTTGGAGCTATATGGTAATATCGGGTAGCATTGAGTTAATTGCTTGTTTTGGGTGAACTGGGAAACTTGGAAATTCAGAAATCGTTACTTGCATTTGAGGAACATTTTCATTGATTTAGCCTATTGTTACTGAAGTAGTCAATCGCTAATTTGTCTATTCATTGTCAATTTTGTCATATTTTAAATACTCTTGTCATTAAAATTATGGTCCGAATGAGCCTTATCTGGTGGGAATCGGCGCGGTCTGAATCGGCCGATTACCATGTATATATCCTAAAGATCTCGGTTTCCTTCAATACTTGCATATCGGACCATAACGTCCTGGCTTATGGCAGTTTATTGTACGAAATTCGCTCTTTAGCTTTGTTCTCTGTCGGTCTCTTGCAAAATGTGGGCGTATCTCGCATGGCAACCGCTTGTTAGTAGATTTTGATGCGGTTTTCTTTTCTTTTTTTGGGGGGGGGGGGGGTAACGATTTTGACCCTATTTCAGGCATTTCCTTACAATTTAACGATGGAAATTTTAAATCAGTTTCTACTCGTTTCTACATTTCCCTCAATCATAGCACACTATACGGTCTGTGCCTGTTTTCATTAGCTCCGACGTTTAACACCATTCTATTCATTCATTGGACATGGAGCATGTGAAAGTGATTTATTGACTTATTTATGCTATTCAAGTTTTAAATTCATTTCATTTTTTTGTATTCAATTCAATTT